CAGAAATAAACAACAGTAAAGATGTAGTTTATATAAAGCATTTAAACAGTAAGCAACAACTCAATATACATACATAAAAAAGTAATATAACTCTATGGGAGTTTCTCTAACCGACAACCATTACTATGGGCTATGTGATGATATAACGTCTCGCCCACGCTGCCAGAACTGTCCTATAACTTACCGGGAGGAAAGGCTTAAAATAGTCCATTATCTTTGAGTTTAGACTCAAAATAGTCCTATTTCTTTTTAGTGGAGCATTAATAATTCTGATTCTTTAATAAAGTGGTGCATTTTTAGTCTCCATCATAACCACCGTTAGTTTTTTAACAGACCAGTGGGTTATGCACGTGACCTGAATTTAAATTTGATAATTAATTGGGTTTTCTTCATTTCTTTCTTATATTTGTTCATTTAATCCAATTTCTTTACCTGAGAAACTCCTTTACTGTTCTTCGGTCCCTTTTACTTCCTATTTCTAGTTTTTGTTCCTTTCTGTAATTTGGGGCTTCTGGCAATTTTGAAGGAAAATAAGAATTGCATAGACTATATTTTGGTTCATTAGTTTTCCTTGCTAAATAAACGAAAGTAAAGGAAAGAAGGGTAACCGAAAGCCTACTTATTCTATAAAGTTTCATACTTTTTTGAGAAAAAATATATATTTTCAATTCACCTAGATTAATTTCAGATTTTAGTTTTCAATTGTATTAGCACCTTCTGAATGAATGGTTAAGTTGAAGACGACACTAACATACTAGAAGGGCACAAAGATAACATGATTTTAGAGGTAAAGAGATATCAAAATACCAAAAAATAAAGAGCAATATCAGCAAAACAACACTAAGAAATGCAACATAGTAGCAACACCAGAAAAAAAACAGAACTATAACATCATTTTAAAGTTCAAAACACTTGAAAATGCATAAAAATAACTCCAAAAGTATAGTATATTGGCAACACCGCAACACCTACGGATTTAGAACAATACAACACTTGATAACAACAACACTTGAAAATGAAACAGAGGAACACCAATGCAATATAGTTGCAGCATCATATCCACCAACAGTCTGATAGCAATATAGTAGCACCAAAAAGGAGATATCAACACCTGAAAAATGCATAGATAAGCACTTGGATAAGGCTAAACTACCATTAACATTGAACACGTACTAGCAATCAAAATAAACTAAATTACCAATGATTCATTTTAACTTTGTGTTTGTTGAGGGTATATCCAACCAGAATCTATATCAACTACTTCTTCTTGTCCAACTGTTTTTTCTTGTCCAGCTCCTTCTTGTCTAGTTTTTGCTTGTCCCGCTTCTTCAAGTCCTCTTCTAACCTGAATCATAAGTTCACATATAAATTGAGTTAGTTTAAGATTATCCGATAAGAAACCAATTCTGATATAGTTAAGATATAGTATTACATGTAGTTTTTGATGAACTGAAGTAGTCTCTTGTGACACAACATTATATTTGCAAGTTTTTTTGTTATGGCCAGGCTTGTTACATGTACTGCAGTCTAGAGATTGTTGCTTTCTTTTCATCTTAGTTCGACTTGCTCCAACTTCATCGGCTTCCTTTCTTCTCGCCTTTTGTTTTCTTCCTCTCTTTTTCTTTCCTACAATTGTTGGAGGCAATGGAGGAACTTTAGTTGATTTAGGCCACATTTGTGGCCCATTTATCAGAAGAATTGCATGTTCATAGATTCTTCTATATGTTTCGACTTTGTAACAATCATCCACATAGTCAAGAATGTTATCCTTCTTTGCCCGAATTGCTGCAATAGCATGCTTGCAAGGAATTCCCATGATACTCCATTTTCTACAACTACATATTCTGTTCTCCAAATCAACAGCCCAACTATCATGAATAGTAGCTCCTATAATCTCATACTTCCATTGATTAGATTTTCTAGGAATATACTCACCCGCTGCAGTCTGATTTTTGTGAAAAATATCCTTAATCTTTGGGCAAACATCATTCGAACTCCATTTATGCGCTTTCTCCCTATTTGCTAACATTCTAGCCATGAGAAGATATCACAATTTCTCCAAAAGTGTCACAATAGGCTTGTCTCTAGCATCAAGGATCATGCTATTAAACACTTCACAAATGTTATTTAATAAAATATCACACTTGGCATCTGAAGAGAAATGAGACCTTGACCATTGGCTAGGTTCTTTGTCATTGAGCCAATCGGCAGCATTTGGATCTAACTCTCTTATACGTACCATGCAAGCATCAAATTCTTTTACAGTGGTAGCCTTTGCAGTAGCCCAAAATGCTTTTTTTAATGTGAACCCACCAAAACCAGCTCTCTTAAAATTGTTATGAAGATGTCTCGCACAAAATCTATGATTGACATATGGCAAAACCTCATTAAAAGCTTCAATAAGACCTTTTTATTTGTCGGACATAAAGGTCCAACCAGTCTTATCTACATCTAAATCAGCTGCCAAATAGTTCAAAAACCAAACCCACGACTCTTTACTTTCTTTCTCAACAATTGCATAGGCAATGGGAAATATATTATTATTACCATCAATTCCAACAGCAATTAACAGTTGAGTCTCATACATTGGACCCTTCAACCAACAACCATCCACGCCTATTATTTTTCTGCATCCTACCTTGAAAGCTAGCTTATGAGCAGCAAAACAGATGTATATCCTTTAAAATCTGTATGGCTTGTTCGGTATCTCATTCTCAGTGAACTTCATATGAATTGTACTACCTGGATTTGTCCTATCAATTTCAATACAATAATCCCACATCATTTTGTATTGATCCTTGATATCACCATCAATCAATGCAAACATCTTAGCTCTGTTGGCTTGAGATAGAGTTATATGAGCTCGTGGATCTACACTTACTGTATCTCTAAAATCAACTAAGCTTCAAGCCCTGTTTGATTTAATTTCTATGAGGTATTTTCTTGCAATATGATGATGTTATTTTTCTATTATCATAATGCCACTCCTTGCAATTATGTGTAGGAATGTACTTCCTAGTTTGGAAAGACGTATCCCTTTGCATTTTACATGCTGTGATTTCCCATTTGCACTCTGAATGTATACAAACGGCCTTCATTCTTTCTTTGTCATTTTTGAGCCACTGGATATACTTTCCATTCTTAATCTCATGAGTAACTACTGCACTTTTAAAATCTTTCTTGCTTTCAAAAACACATTCTAGAGCTAAAATTGGATTGTCTCCATCTGTTTGTGGATTAAAAGTAGGAAATTTCAAGATCTCATTTTCAGAATCACTATGCAAACTCTTTGTGTCCGTAGAATCAACACAATCAGACTCTCCTTCTGGAGCTGTCATCTTTCTCTGTGCTTCGATACTAAGGATCTCCCATTCATTCACTATGTATTGTGCAGTCTTTTCATGTTTATCAACAAGTAACCCATCAGTTAACTCAACTTCCGAGTCGCTAAAATCATTTGCCAATAGATTTTCCTGAACAAGTTGTTGTCTGTTATTATCTGCAGCATTTGAGCTATGTATAGAAGTCATATCTTCTATATTGAAATATGAATCCAAGTGTCGAAGTAAATTTCGATCATGTTGTCATTTGGGATGTTTTTGCGAACAACATGGGCTTCATTATGTAGACACCAACCTCCATCTATTACTAGATCTTCCACATCTATGCCAAAAAGTTATTGAATTCTTTAAGTATCCACAAATCTCTGCCATCTTCTTAAACTCATGAAGGTCCAATTTGTTTGCATTAACAAAATCAATATAGTCTGTGTTGCCCTCAACATAATGCTTTTCTGGAGTACGTTTCATAACTCCTCCGTGGTGTATTTTGATACTAAAAAATGATGTATCTGCCGTCGATTCTAAAATAGCAAAAATTATATTCTAATCAACACAAATAATACATATACAACATGATATTAATATTAAAGTAAATAACAAAAAGTATAAATTTCAGGGGAATTGATTAAGTCATATAACTTTTAAAATATTAACAAACTTACAAAGCGACATCTTTATATATATATATTCATAAACGTGCTTCTTGTGTTGAATTATTTTTTGCGATAGTGGGATTTGATTAAAAGAATTAAAAATAAAATCGTACTTACCATAAATTAGAGGTGATTCTCTGTCATCGTTGCTCCTTAAAAACATTATAACTTCCAAACTTTGATTATATTATTGAAGAAAGTATAATGCAGGTTTCAGATTTTAGGGTTATTTGGAGATTAGAGATAAAGAGGGGGAAAACTAAGAAAGAAGACTAATGTTTCAAAAGGAGAAGCCCAAACAGCATTGCAATAGCAAGAGTCTGTAAGTTTGGAGGGAAACATATGAGAAGCACGTGCATAACCCACTGGTCTGTTAAAAAACTAACAGTGGTTAGGATGGAGACTGAAAATGCACCACTTTATTAAAGAATCAGGACTATTAATGCTCCACTAAAAAGAAATAGGACTATTTTGAGTCTAAACTCAAAGATAATGGACTATTTTAAGTGGATCCACTAGTCTATGCTAAAAAGCATTAAAGAATCATCTAAAAAGTATGACCCTTTCTACCCACGATGACTACATGGTTTATGGAGACTTGAGTTATTATGAACTCGTCCCCATATCGGTGCTCAATACTACTCCCAAAATATACTCAGCTCATATGTTTAAAAACAAAAATCTTTTTGTGGTTTGAGATAATTACTCAAAAAACTTATCTATTAAAGAGATGGAACTCAAAACTACTCATGAAAACTCATTTGGAAATCGGTGTTTCCTCTTACCTTAAATGTGAAAAAATTTGTTCTTTGGGAACTTATCATTTGAAGAAATGAACTTGGCTCTACTGTTTCTCAAACTTCATGCTTAAATCTTTAAAACAAGTTTAAAACTATTGTATAAGACTTTAGAAAGACTCTAAGAACTCTCTTGACTTGCCTCTAAGCTCTACCTTGAATTGGATTCATGGATTCAAGGGTCATGATCTCATGTTATAGATGATATCATGATGTTTAGACATACCTTAGAGTGTAGAAATCAACTAGGAAACATACGTACGATTCAAGGAAACTCAAACGGAAAGAAGTGGGAAAGGGTAGGAGACCTGGTGTCCCTAGCGCTCTAAGTGGCGCGGGCCACTAGAGGGCAAACTTCAGAGATTGGGTTGGGAGCTTTGAGTGGTGCGGCGCCCCAGAGCCCAAACTACAGAAGTTTATTTAGGGCGCTCTGAGTGGCATGGCGCCCCAGCCCCCTTCCCTATGTTTTTTGATGAATTTTGTTGCTTGTTTTTCAACTCTAAACCCTCTAGATTCAATAAGCTTCTTCCCCAAACACTTAGATTCGAATACCCCACCAAAGTATACAAGAATCCACTCAAAAACAACCTTAAATCACATCAAATCACCTCAAGAACTTCTCCAAAACTCAACAATCAAGATTCAAACGAAACTTCAACAAAATTCATCAAGAACTCATAAACTTTTCTTTCAAGAACACAAATACGCTGAATTTAATCATGATTGGCACGTGGGTGAACGAACACAATGCTATGTGATCTCACATACCTCGTAGGGATCAACCCTTGGTGAAATCCACAAGCTTAACTTCAATAACGCGACGAATCCTTGTTTCTTCTCCTCTTTTCTCCTCTTCTTTTCTCTTCTCTCATAACCCTAACTTAATTTTCTGAACCAAATTAGTTTAGACCCCAGTTTAATTACCAAAAACGAATTTAATTAATTAGGTAGTGAAAAGACCAAAATACCCTTCTAAAATCCAGTTTTGACTTTCCTTATTTAGATCAAAGGATCTTGATGTTATACCTATTGTGGGTATGCACGGACTTGGAAAGACCACACTGTCAAGACAAGTATACAATAGTGAAGAACTAATTACTTATCATTTTTACAAGAAAATGTGGGTTTCTGTTGGGACATCAAAGAAACCAAAGGATATTCTTGTTAAGAAGTCGCGCCAAGCAATAGTGAAGAACTAATTAAAGACAAGGATGAGGATCAATTAGCTCATATCATACGTGAATTTGTTGTTGAAAGCTTTCCCGAACAACCAATATCTCATTGTCTTGGATGATGTATGGGACACAGCAGTTGTAGATTTTGTCAAGAAAGCTTTCCCGAACAATGAATCCCAGCCCCGAGGGGACAGAATCATGTTGACAACTCGCCAACGACGTGTGGCTGAAGCTGTCAGCGCTCATCCTCACAATCTGGAAAAATTGTCAAAAGGGGATAGTTTTAAGTTGTTGGAACAGAGAGTTTTTGGCAAAACAAGGGAGTGTCCTATTAAGTTAAGAGGATATGGAAATGAGATTGTAGATAAATGTTGTGGCGTACCACTTGCTATAGTGGTGATTGCAGGAGCTTTGAGAGGTTGTCTGGGTGAAAGTGATTGGAAACTAGTCAAGGATAATGTGGGGAAGCACCTGTTAAACAAAGATGACAATAAAAGCTGCTTGAAATTTGTTGAAACGAGTTACAATCATTTGCCGCAACAGAGAAAGGCAGCCTTCTTGTATTTTGGAGTATTTCCTCAAGGTTTTGATATTCTTGCTAGGAAACTTATTCTCTTATGGGTTGCTGAGGGGCTAATAAAGTCCGGTCTTCAAGGCAGTAAAATCGAGGAGGTTGCAGAGACTTACTTGAGCGACTTTGCCGGTAGGAATTTAGTGATGGTGATGCAAAAGAGATCTAACGGTCAAATCAAAACATGTCGGCTCCATGACATGTTGCATGAGTTCTGCATTATTGAGGCTGAAAGGATAAGTCTCTTTCAACAAGTATATTTCCAACCTGGTGTTCGAGGCAAGATATGTTGGGGCAGTTGGAATGCCTTACGGTCCTAAAATTGAAAGAGAATGCATTCATAGGGAAGAATTGGAAGCCCAAGAAAGGATGTTTTAGCAATCTCCAAGTCCTGTGGATTGACTGGGCACAAAACTGGGAAACTTGAGATGCATCAAATCGTTCATTCCAAAGTCTTACACACCTTGTTCTTATTTCCTGTTATGATCTCAATGCTGTGCTACACGAGCTGGCTGATTTACCTTATCTTCAAGAGATGAGGCTGATGCACACATTCAAGGCAGTCAGTTCTGCCAGAGAAATCAAAAGCAAGAAACTACGGAGGAAAGATCCGGAAAGCAGCATCAATCTCATTATATTCCCCCCTGCCTCATCCACAAATTAAGGTCAGTCAAATTCGTTCATTTTGTCTTGAAAAATGATTTTATATCTTCATCATACATTTGTGTTTGTTCATAAGTTACTTTCTGCAATCCATGAATCCTTTAACAATCACGATTTCACATTGCTTAGCATAGAAAGCTCTCTCCAACACTTCATCTATCATATTTTCCTTGTAGGATAGAATTAACGCATGACGGTCACTAGGAATTAACCTGGGATCAATGATGGCATATGGAATACTCGTGGATCACTCCGTGTTTTATCTTTCTGCAGTTCATTCCTCTGATAAACTTGTCCCAATGAAACAAACCTGTTGTCTTTTTATCTATTCAAGCATTGTGATCTTTAAAATAAGTTTCTGTGTGGTTTAATTAAGAGAAGTCGAATAAATACGCTCCCTTATGCGCTTGCCTGGGGAGCGTTTCGAATTTCTTGTAAAGCTTTTCCAGCTTTCAAGTTTTGTTGCTAATAGATTATTTGTGCCATCGAAAGCATTTCTTGTTATTCCTGCAATTATTTCTTGTAAAACTCTTCCAGCTTTCAAGTTTTGTTGCTTGTGTGCCACCGAAACTCAAGATGCTATTTTAATCTAAGTTCACTCGGACTCTTCACTCTCAGTGCTGCACCCCTGTCAACACAACCTGGGTGACAAATACAACGATTTCTGTAATCAAAACAAAAGCTTAGGTGAAGTTGAAGAAAATGGATTACCTTGTATATAGAAATTTCTATACCAATCATATTCTCCCCCATATCATAATTTTCTCCGGGGAATAATTTTACACAAATGTCTCATAATTTAGACATATTCTCAAAGCTCTATTTTTAAATATTTGAATTATTTTAAGCCGAATTCCCGTACCTGAATTCACTCCTATCTCACATCAATAAAATGGAAGGTTCACTCTTCTAATGTTTTCTTGTGAATGTCAACTTTAGAATATAAAATCTGCAAGGAGCTAAACATCAAGAATAAGGCTAGTAAAATGTGATGAAGTAATATACTTACCAAAAATATACACAAAATTCAACTAATTAGAGAACAGTGATCAACTATAAATGATATTAGGAAAATTAATCACATCTTAGCTAATTCATATAGCTAATATCACTCATAGAAGCTATCACGATCGGACTTCTAACGTAGTGAACATGATCAGTCCATCGCAGTTCTCCAAAAACATATGTATCTTTTACTGCATCTGCGTCCAGAACTTTAATTGTTACATTAAAGCTCTTCTCTTGACCAACGTGATCAAATTCCAAGACGCGGGGATTAACAGAAGCTGAAAATATTCTCTGTGGTAAACGAACACGTCCAGTGTATCTGCCAGGGGCACTGACATTCTTGAGCCTACGAGTGATGGTGATTGGATATGAGAGAGAGATGTTGGGAATTGCTATGGAAGGATAGTTGAAATCCAAGAGATATTATTTAGGCCTTGCTGGTGCTTAGGACAATGATAAGATGATTCTGTTTCTGAAAATTCTGTGATGTTTTGGTTGTAGCCCAGGAAATCATAGTAGTCATTCACTGTCAAGGAAGGGGATGTTTGTTATGCACAAAAATGACCACGGAATTGATTAGATTTTTGAGAATGTGAGGAGTTATAGTATTAGGACCAACAGAAGAGAAATCTGCCATAAATGGAAATCTCTGTAACAATAATGTCGCAAGTTAGAACTACAAGTATCAACACTGGAAATAAGGAAAAGAAAGAGATGTATTAATTTGCTTTGGAAATTTCTTGATTTGTAAAGAAGAAGTTTTTGAAGAAGAAAAATTAAGTCTTTTGAGGTGAAAACGTTTATTAGCTATGTAAAATGGCTCTTGATCTTCTTTTAGAAGCTCATGCAAATGCTTCAATGCCATAATTCAACAAAGAAAGAAAAAAAATTTCTTTAAAATTCAAGATTTATGAAGGGCTTTTGAGTTCTTGAAGTATAAAATGCAGAATTGAAGAGCCAGAGAAAGTTGAACAGATATAAGTAAGAGGGTGATTTAGAAGATCTGAGGCAATTAATTTACTATAATGTTGGTGAATGGTGAAACAAATTACTCCCTCCGTCCACTATTGTTTGTAGATATACTAAAAATAGTTGTCCAGAATTAATTCTCAATTTAAATAATCAAGAAAAAATTAGTCACTTTTTTTCAATTCTGCCCTTAATGATTACATAACTATTGGTTTTTAAAAAGTAGTCATTTTAAAGTTACAAGACTATTTTAATGTGAAAAAAATTATTTTTATAGTTTTCAAAAAGTACAAACCATTTTAATAATAATTGATAATAGGGTTATATTAGTCAAATTGTATCTTATATTAAATTTTTCTTAAGGATTGTGCATGAACTTATCCTGACAAACAATAGTGGATGGAGGGAGTAATTTATTTACCTATAAAAAGACAAGAAAAGAGTACTCTGAATGGTAAATTTGATTCAATTATTGAAATGGCTGTAACTGTAGTTGTAAGACTGTTTCTTTTTTGCGTAGCAGAAACATATGGCAAGGTTGTGATAACTAGTTGCATAGGACTCTATTAATTAGCATAAAAAAATGGCTCTTTCTGTCTCTATAATATGTGTGCGTGTGGGTGGGAATTTCTAGGAAATGCAGGGATTAGGAAATACAGAAGATACAAGTGATGTGTAGTTGATTAGTTTTTATTATTATTTTTATGATCGTGTTGTTCGGAGCACTTTTTGCATATTTTGACTTATTACACGAAATACCTATCACTTTCAACCAATAACATGTATTAGGTAATTCTCTCCACCAAAGCTAAGACAAATGAAAACAATCACCTAGTCATTTAGTTCATCATGAAGAGTCAGAAACACACCTAAAATTTTCATCTTTATGTGAGTTTCACGCCTTAACATAGGTTATTACTATCATATTTGTACTAAAATATATTTTTCTGGAGATGTACATAGTCAGTGTAAGGAGTTTTTACACTATCAAGTAATCTATCCTGCTTTCGACATTACAAATCTCACATTTTAAGGAGGCTTATGATCGGATAGTGTAAAAATTCTTTATGTTGACGGTGTATATAACTTAAAACTCTCCCAAATAAATCGTACTTATTGCAAGAGAAACGATCATTAGTGCTGTCATTTTGACAAATCCCTTTCCATCTTGAAGGAATAGGTCCAAACCCTTCATCGTTGAAGCTCTCTGATTCAGGCCAGACACCTGTTCAAAGAACACAATCATTTTTACGACAAACGAAATTGCAAACCAACAACAATTACTACGCCTCAATCCCAATGATAGAGTTACGATTTTTACTAAGGGGGTTCAAATATGAAGAAAAAGACACACGAAGAAGTCGAAGGAGTTCAATGTACATCTACTATATATACATGAAAAGTTGAAAACCAATTTTGACCAGGTATAAACAGTGTAATTTTCCAACAGAGGGAGTTCAGTTGAACCTCCTGAGTCCTTACTAGATCCGCCTCTGCTCAATACTAACCATGTTGAATACACAATAGTCGCATGACTTAAATGATCAATTATTCGTCAATAAATAAGATCGAGTCGACCATTTGGACGGACAAGTGTAGACTATGGCAGAAAGGCAGGTAGTGTATACAAGTTAAATCCAATTAACAATGGTGCAACACGACAAACAGATTAAGAAACATGTTCGATCTATAGGCCACCGTCCATAAAAAGTGGTAATGAAACATGATCGATCTACGCCACCATCCATAAAAAGTGGTATATATAACGAGAAAGATAAAATGTAGTTAATATACCGTACATACAAGTTAGATCGAATTAACTATAGTGCAACACAATAATTAAAATTGGGAACATGATTGATCTATAGGCCACTGTCCATAAAAAGCGGTATTAATAACTCGTAAAATAAGACAACAGTACATATAAGTTAAATCTTGTTAGAATATGTGCATCCACTAATACTTAATGGACCAGGTCCCTAGACAGAATATAAGCACAGAAAGTAAGTAACTCAAAGTAAGGTAAACACAATAATTTTACGTGGAAACCCCCTTGCTCACGGGAAGAGAAAACCAACATCGCAGGATTTCCATCCAAACTCCATTTAACTTCAAAAGGAGAAAATCTCCATATTACAAACTCTTCCAACCAAGGAATTAAAACTCTTTAATCCTTCCTCCTTACTGTAGTAACTCTCCTACAAAGGAAGCAAACTAAGCAATAACTCTATTGTCCACTACACCAACTACCTCTAGCTGATATAGACTTCAACTACCTGACATGGCAAACTCTAGCTGGGAATTGTAGATCTCAACAAGACTTCAAACGATCTAGTTCCTTTATAACATAGGAATAGATCTTACAGGATTATGCACTAAAGATATACACTTTAACAATTAAGAACAATGATAACTCTATCTGGTCCTCTAGCTGTTTGAGAGATATTATCTGCAGAGAATGCAACCCTTTTTGTTGATATATCTTTTTTTCTTGACTAGGTTGTTTCATATCAAGATGAGGATATATTATCCTCTCGACAAAATAACGTAGTGTTCTTTGATTGGTTGAGTACACTGTTCTCTCACCAACCACGTCAGAAAGGACAACCTTTACAATTGTTCACCATTTGACTTTAGATACCTGATCAATTATGGGACCAGGTTGCAAGTTTGTGAGTATCATCAAAATTTTGAATTCTAACATTTTCCCCTTTTTGATGATGACAAACAACACTTTATTATTCCCTCTACCACGGATATATCCCGACATACATTTCCAAGACAGTC